GTAGAACAAGTTTTCTCTTCTGTTTGGTTTTGTTCCCATTGAGAAGTCACTTGGAAAAAACATGCAACAAATAATTTGGGCATTTTAGGCAGTGAAAAGGATTCTTTTCCCTTTCTCCTGCCTCACCCAAGACTAAAGGAGCTGATTACCTTGTTAGATAACAGTGGCAAGCTTTAAGACTCCTATAAAACAAAGGATAGAAATGTTGCTTTTATAAGGAAGAATTGCAGAGCTGGAAATGATCCATATTTGGGACATGAATGCAAGCTGTTATGCAGATCAAAGTATCTATTTGAAGCTGAATTACTCAACAGCATCTATCTATGCCTCTTCAACACCTGCAGATTAGCAATGTAATCATGTGGAGGTTGCTATAGCTACATCTCTAAAGCAGGTGGAGTTCTTCATCTCTTGGAGCATTATCTTCATTCTTTGCAAATAAACCATGTAACAATATATTTAAAATGCCACCTTAGTGGTATCAGCTCCTGTCTCTTGCTGACAATGTCATGTCTGATCTGTTCTTACCCTATTAATTCCTATTGTTTTCTCTAGAAACAATTCCACTTCCATCTGAGCATCAAGCCTACCTTACAAATACATGTGAACAAGCACCAGGCCCTTGCCAACCCAGACCTAGCAAGGTCATAAAGCAAGTGCTTGAGCCCAAGGTGAGGATGCTCAAGTACAGCTAGCAATTGTGTAGGCTTGCCTTAGGGCTGATGGCATGTAAGACTGTAAGCTGGAACTAAATACAGCACATAGCAAAACTACCAGCCTTCAGCAACAACACTTTCCAGGGCCTGACAAATGGTCAAACAGCAGGAGTGCCGGTTGTGATGGTTTTCAGCTCATTGTTTGCCTAAGTCTCTTCCAGAAGAAGGGCTCAAATCACTCTGGTTTGGGTTTTTTGGTTTGTTTTACTTTTTTGCCTGGAATACTTCAAACTTCTTATTTGGGTTCCTCTATTGTTTACTCTAGCAAAGGGCCGTCCAGATGACCTTTCCTTCCATTTGTCTTCCTGCAGTGACTGGCATATGCTGTAACCCTTAACCCTCTGCCAATCAAGACTGCAACATGCTAACGTGTGTGAAAACTTAATAGCAATCCCTGTGCAAAAAGCTGATAGTCTAAAAGAGGAGTGCTGAAAAGTAGAAAAAAAGTGACAAAAAGCTAAGAAGAGAAAGTACCAAAGAGTAGATAAAAAAATCATGGTGCTTTGACTTGTCTAATTTTGTCATTCTCCTTGTTTGTCTTTTGCTCTAGCTCTGCATCAAGTGCAAACTTTTCATTCCCCAGTGAAGGTAGGGAAGGCGAAATTTCTTACTAAAAATTGACAACAGCAACAACAACAGAACATGTTCTCCCTCTGTGGCAAATTTTAATTACCAGACTATAAAGCTGAGTATCAGAAAATGCTCCAAACATAACATCACTTCAATAGTTTTTCAATAGAAAACTCTGGTTTTCCCCAGAAAGCTGATGCTGTTGAAAGGGTATTTAGCAAAATAGTATAAATTTTTGCCGATGCCCAACTTCATTCTCAGCACTGGTCTGTTTCCACTTATTTCTTATCCCTCCAGCTGTCCTTTAAGCCATGTCTTTGATACACTAACTTTTTAAATTTTTACAAATTACTGAAATATGAATTCTCCTCAGAGCCTGCTAATTTTCGTCTGCCCAAAAAGCAGTGCTGTAAAATTTATTTCTATAAATGCAGGCAGATAAAAATATTCCATGTTGCTTTGAGAGAAATCCATCTTCAGGTCAATTAGTGCATTACATGTCATAGAATCATAGAATTGTAGAATCATTTAGGCTGGAAAATACTTTTGTTTCTCTCTCTATCTTCAGGCTGTTTCATTTCTGCTGGTTGTGATGGTTTGTTCTCCAGGCTGCAGGTACTGATGACAATAACAAAGAGGCCCCTCATTAGGAGAGAGGCTGTTTAGTGACGGCCTTTCCATTTACTTCACAAATGGCTGTTGAAAAAAGGCGAGCCAGACAAAGGCAGCACAGAGGAAATCACATCAGCCTTGTTTTTCTTTTCTTCTGGTTCTGTCGTGGTCATAACCAGCAATCAAAACGTTGTCAAACGCAGCAGTGTGCATCCTGGCTTTGAAAAGGGCATGGCTTTAAAACACACAGGTGAAGCCAGCTACGGCACCTGTGCTGTGAGAAATGGCTCCTCCTATCTAGGTGCCAAATCCTGACTTGCCGAAGTCAGGATTGAACTGTTAAATATAAGGATTTAATGGATTGAGCTCTGGTAAATATAAGACTTGGGAGAGGTGTGCCCAATGGACAGCTATGAAAATGAATTTGTTTGTTTTTTAAAGCTCCAAGTCCAGAAGATTTTTTTTTTCCTCTTTGAGCTGTTTTTTCTCTAAGGTCTATTAAAATTTGTAAACAGTTAATTTTGTACTACAGCAAATTAAGAGTAACATTTGTTCATGATTTAGCTGCCAGGAACTTGATTTTGCTTTTTGTGGCCTGCCTGACAAACAAAAGGCACACACCAATTTGCATGACCAAGGTTTTCAAAAGCAGTTGGCAATGTGTGTTGACTGTGTTTCTGTTGACTGTGTTTCCCACCCTGAGACTCCTGCAATGAACTTCCTTCCCTGAAATCGGGCCTTCCTTAAGATATCTGCAATCAAGCAAACAAAAGGCCTTCCCCATATCATTAGTCAATTTTAACACACACCACCTTAACCATCAAAAATTAAGAACATGGTCCCAGAACCAGGTTCCCAGAACCAGAAAATGAACAACATTGCCACTGTGCCTCAGTTGCCATGGGCACTTGCAGAACTTTTCCTGAAGGGGAAAAACTCCTGCTGGGAAGCTTCCTGGATTACTTTGTTACAGAGAAAATGAAAGAAAGTCAGTCCGTTTGAAGTGGTAGCAATCAGTACTCGAGCTGAGGCAGAATCTTTTTTTTTTTCTTTCTTTTTTTTTTTTTTTTTGTTTTGTTTTGTTTTTTTTTTCCTCTGAAAGAAGTCCAAAGGGAAGAGAAAAGCCCACAAAACACAGCCTGTGCTGTTCCCTGCCCTGGGCTCCAGCAGTGGCAGCGTGGTCCCGTGCTGGCCTGGCACATCCACAGTGGCTGCGGGTGGGAGCCCCAGGCATGCCAGCAGCCCCTCGCTGCCCGTGCAATCCAGAGGCCAAAGAGCTGCAGTGGGTCGCCCACAATCTGCAGCACAGCTTCCTTTCTATTCCCATTGCTATGGAAATTGTTTCTGGAGGCAACCCTAATTTTCTTTTCAGCAATCAATTAGGGGCAGGCTTTGCACTGAGCTGTTTGTTTCCCCAGCACTGCTCCATTTGATATTATTTTCTCCATGACAAATTAACCACAGCTGGACCTGTCTGAAATTGCTAAGAATTCTCTTCTATAAAGTGAAGAAAAAAGGGAGACAAAGACAGAATAAGCATAAGAAGCAGGAATAAATTGATATTTCATAGGGGAAGGAGTGGGAATAGCAGGGACCTGACAGCTGCCAAGGGAAGAGGATGTCCTCTGATTGCCTGTCTGGTCAGGTCTCACCATCTCCCAGGGTCAGGCAGGCTAACAGTGTGATGCAAAATCCATAGCTCCTGGGTGTATTAGTGGTGACACTTCTTGTTACGCTGAGCTATGTAACCAGCCAGAAGCTTTCTGGAAAAGTCCAGTTTTGAGGTTGTCCCCTATCCTTTTACCACAGACTCAGTCAAGCCAAAACTCCCATGTTCTATATAAGGACATGTCTTCCCGGGGAATAAGAAAAAGGTGGGGGACGGGAGAAAAGGTTTTTGTTTTTTTTTATTTGCTATTGCTATAAAAGTCTGGTACAAGGAGCTTTGAAATTCTCACATAATGTGCTCCCTCAGTTCAAACAAACTTGTTTCACATTTTCCCTCTGCCTTCCCCCATCTTCTACACTTGCTTGCTGCAACAGTCTCCCATAACACATTAACAGATTGAAAATAACCTTCTGCCACCCTTCATCTACTTTGGCCAATTTAAAACTAGACAAACTACCCAACTACCCCAGGCACTGTGGAAGTAATGTGTGCCCATGTGCGTGCATATGGGTTCTTACCTAAAGGGAACAACTTTCACAGCAAGAGGCAAGAGGTTATTTTTATTTCCAAGATGTCTGATTTTGCATCCTCCCTTTTCTGCTGGTTCTGTCTTTTTCTTCTGCTAAGACAATCAGCCAAAGGTCTAGAAAAGCAGTAATTATAGTTATTCTGTGACAGGAACAACGATTCATGAACAACTGGATGCAAAAATACCCTGTCAACACATTCATCGTTGCTGAAGCGATCGGGTCCTAATGATTAGAGCAGGGAGAGAAAGGTGCAGAGAGGGATGCATTGAAAGGCAGAGCTGTGTTTTGAGTTGGCCCTGGATACAGATATTTCTCAGTTGTGTGAAAATGGCTATTAGCTGCCATCCTGCACACCTCGCCTCTGTGTGAAGTATTTTGAGGGGACCTTTGGTTCAGAAGTGTCAGCAGGGGAGTGAGCACAGCACTACGTGCAGAAGAGTTACAGTCCTAAGGCAAGTGCAGCCTGAGCACTGCCTGCATGTGCTTGCAAGGAAACATGTAAGGAATCCTAGGAATACCGGGCTTTGGAACTGCATCATGGGAGTTCTTGCAAAATTATAGTAACTGCAATGCCTTTATGAGCAGGATGAGGTTGGACAGGAGCAGGAAACCTGTGGGTTATGGGGGAAAGGGATGCTGTGATCTGTGTCCTGTCCACCCAGCAGCTGAATGGATTGGGGTACATGAGGTCTGGCTATGCAGAGAGCAGAGTGGGAAACAGGACAAGAACAACCCCAGCACCCTGTTGATACACAATACCCACCTGTAGGAAGGGATGGCTGGGCCATATAAATGGGCAATTGCCATCCCAGCTGATGGTCACCACTAGTTTTCTCCTGTGACAGAGCTTGGTATTCTCTTCTACATCTTGTCTCTTTAACATCTTCATTAACTTGGACACAGGACTTGGAGGTATAACAAGAATGTTTGCTGATGAAAGTAGACTGGGAGAAGCTGTTGAGGCAGAGAGACCCTGCAGAGAGACCTTGACAAATCAAGGGCTGAGTAATCACCAACTATATGAAGTTTAACAAAGGCAAGTGCTGGATTCTGCACCTGGGATGGAGCAACCCTGGCTATACAGACAGACTGGAGAATGAGCTGCTGGAAAGCAGTGCCATGGAAAGGGACCTGGGGGTCCTGGTCAATGGCAAATTGACCATGAGCCAGCAGTGCCCTGGCAACCAGGAGGGTCAAGCATGTCCTGGAGGGCATCAGGCACAGCATCAGCAGCCAGACAAGGGAGGGGATTGCCCCACTCTGCTCTGCACTGGGAAGACCTAACCTTGAATGCTGGGGGCAGTTTTGGGTGTCACAATATAAGAAAGACGTTAAACAATTAGAGAGCATCTAAAGGAGTGCAACAAGGAAGGTGAAGTGCCTTGAGGGGAAGCCAAATGAGGAGCAGCTGAGGTCATTTGGTCTGTCCAGCCTGGAGGAGACTGAGGGGAGACCTCACTGCAGTCTGCAACTTCCTTGTGAGGGGAAGAGGAGGGGCAGACACTGATCTCTTCTCTGGGAAGAGCCTGAAGCTCTGTCAGGGGAGGTTTAGGTTAGATATTAGCAAAAGGGTTTTCACTCAGAGGGTGGCTGGGCACTGAAACACACTCCCCAGGGGAATGCTTACAGCACCAAGGTTGACAGAGTTCAATAAGCATTTGGACACTGCTGTCAGGCACATGGTGTGACTCTTGGGGTATCCTATGCAAGGTCAGGAGTTAGACTTCAATGATCCTTGTCCAAGTAAGGGTCCTTTCCAATTAGTGATATTCTATGATTCACACAAAATGTTTTATGTAGCAACCTAAGATACACAAATCCTTTAGCAAGGATTTGGAACAGATTTATCTAAAATATTTAATCATTTGCTTCAACAATTTGTGATGGTTATCAAGTGGTGTTAACCAGGTTCAGTCAATCTATAATTGGGCTGGATAGCAAAATACAGAAATTTCTGGGTAAGCAGGGCTGACACAAAATCTGTTTCCCCATTGTGCTCCCTCGAGAACATGCAAAAATCAATAGCTCAGAAAGCCCTTCAATGCCTCTGTCCCCACATGAACTCTATTTTCTCCCAGCTGCTACTCATTTACCTACCAAGGCAAGCAGATGCTTCCTGAGGTTTGCTGCCAATATTGTGTCATCAAAGGTGAACTGGTGTCAAGACACAGCAGAGTATGTGCTGAGAGACTGAGCTTGTTCAGAAGCCATGGTTTACTTCCCCCAGTCTTCACACACATCTGTACTTATTCCCACATGTACACATAGCCAAAAGAACACCCATTATTGGTAGAACCATCTCTGCATCCTGTCTGATTCCCTCAGTCCACAACTTCAGCCTCCCTCTCTCTTTGAGGTGCATCAAATTTCAGGGTAGACCAAAAATGCTATTAATTTGGACCTTTCCAAGAACTGTACTTCATCACAGAAGCATCTCTGCCCAACCTATAAAATGAGGAGGCTTTTGAAGATTGCTTTCTCCTCTGGCTTTGTTTAGAGCTGCTCATTGCACGTGGAAAAATACAATGTCTTGTTACACAAGTCCTAAGGCACTCATATCTCTGCATGGCTGCATCCCTGGCAGAAATTAGGGACTCTAGTGTCCTGGTGACCTAATGTCTGTCTTGTTTGTTGCACAAAGCTTTTAATGATATGTTTATGATTGTTATTATTTTTGTTCCCTTCATCTGAATTTGAAAACATTTCCTGGCAATGGAATATTGAATAAAAACCTTGAGACTGATGGACTTGGTTGCTTTTGTAGGGGGAAGTAATGCCATTTCAGCTCTGACAATTGTTCTTCACATCCCCTAGTTAGTTAGCTGGGAATTTTCTTGTAGATTTAAATACTCTTCAGGATGGAATTAAAATAGTACTTTTCAAATTTAGTGCACATTAGGACTTGTAAATTCTCCACTGGTGCACTAGCTGGGGGAAGATGCTCATTAATATCTGTTGTTTTCTTACTGACAATAATTCTTAGGGTCTGTTCCACAAATACTTTGTGCAAAATGCTTAGTGGTAATTTCCTCAGAGCATTAAGGATTATTAGGGTGATAAGAGAAAAGTTACAGCCCTGCCTTTTTTTGGTTTGCTCTGCCAAATCACTCAGCAAAAAACAAACAAACAAACAAAAAACCAAAACAGCATCAAGACAGTAGGAGTCATCTCCCATTCCCCCACTCTGCAGACCTGAACCAATAACTCCCATCTTTCCTGTGTGTAGGGACCAATTATTCCATGCTATTATAAATTCTTTCAAAATTAGGCCTTTCCCTTTGTGCATGAAAATTTTGGCATAATATTCCGCAGCTTTCAGCATTACTGAGCAACAACTGGAATTCCCAGCAACACTGCTCTGGACCTCCCTGCTTGTGGGGGGAAGAAGGTGGGGAAGGAGCTTCCTACCTGGATACCTTGGACAGGAGATGACGGCTTTGGGTGTGACAACGCAGGTGACATACCTGACATCCCAGAGCTTTCTGTCAGCTTGACTGGAGTCAGAGGAAACCTCGTGTCTGTGCCCACAAAGGCCACACTGCAGTCTTGGGGATCAGTTCTCCTGCATAAACCGGAGGTTTCCTCCTGGTGGGCACTGTCCTGCCCTCTAGCAAGCAGCCTCGATTGAGGAAACTTTTTGCTCTTGTTGAATACCAGCTGATTGGTACAGAACTCCTGGGGTGCTGGAGAGTCAGATGATGACATGCCTAACCCTTAGCTGCTCACAGTCTCATGCTGCTTCCTCTCTTCCATAATGCTCCCACACTGACATCCATTTACTTATCTAACCACGGGATAACTTTTTGTCTGTTGTTTTCCTAAGCTGTTGTGGGATTTGTTTCCAGTAGGCGTATTTCTTGATTAATGATCTTTCTGTTAACACTTGCTCATATTCCATATGGGATCTTCTTGGGTTATCTAAATGCACAAAATACTTAAAACAATATTTTTTTTCTCAGCTCATCACTGTTTTTAATAACACAATTTATTTATCCCGCCTCCAAGGAAAAAAAAGAGCATTTTTTAGCTTGCTCAAACTCATGCTGAATGTTATTTGTGATTCATGTTATCACCTTGTGCAATATTCTTAGAAAACAGAGCATGGACAGGCTCTGTCAGGAAGGGTTTTGTAATGTATTTGTCATTTCTTTTCTATATAGATTAAGGGCTAAATATTTTGATGGTAGATGAATTTGTAGACCCCATCTCATTTAATTCAGAGCAGCTATTCAAAGGAGAGAAGATGATTTTCTTTCAACAAATGATAGTAGCACTTTCCTGGATGCAAGCTGAAAAATATTTACATCAGTTTAAATGAGCAGTGTGTAACTATAAATAAAGAACACAGGTAATGAAGTGTTATCATTGAAGTTGAAATTAAAATTGAATCCTGTCAAAACCTAAACATGGATCATGACAGAAAAATCCAATACTGTTTGGTTTGTTGTTGTTTTTTTTTGTTTTGTTTTATTTGGAGCTGCTCTAATTATAGACTATGTAAAGGAAAAAAGATTATACAGCAGACGGAATTTGTAGTGATTTCAGTAACATTTCTGATGCAATGCCATGAAAAGAATGATTACCTGTTTATGGCATCTTTATGTGCATTTACAGCCTGCCTCAGTGAGGTGCCATAGGCAGCACTTGCCTCTTAACCCAAGTGATATGACATGATGTGTGAGCATGGGCTGTGTGCCCACAGCCCAAATGACCACGGGCCTGTTTCCACAGGGGATGCGCTGGTGTTCGCTGGGTGACTCCTGCTAGGGCTGTCCCTGACCCTGGCTCCCCGCAGCTTGGTGCCCCTGCTCACGGGAGCCACTGATGTAAGATAAATTAAGAAACCCTAGGGCAGAGGGACATGTTCACTATCCCTAATTCCAAGACATTAATCTCAGCGTAAGTTACTTTATTGACAGGGCTTTGTTTGAGCTCTGTGCCCTACACTGTCAGGGCAGGAAAGGATTTACATCCATTGGAAACACAGAACATGGTAAAAAAGTGCAAGTGGGCTCAGAAAAGCCCTCTGAGATGTTCATGCTGAAATGGAAAGCATTCCCTTTTAGTTACCAAGGGTGAAGTCTCTTGTTGCCTTTCTGGAAAGCAAGGCTCCAGGCAACTTCTTGTACTTCAATAGCTGAAAATAAAGCCTTAAAATAGAACATGTCAGGGAATTAAATGAGAACCACAAATTTAGCAGGGGTAGTGATTGCCCAGGAGAATACTGAGGTGAAATGTATAGAAAAGAGGGATTTTGAGAAAGAATTAAGTGAATTACTGGTCCCATCCATAACATCTGTTATAGTCTTGGCTGCCGGGTACTTACTTTCAAAGAAATCAGCTTCCACTGCTGTCTGCTGAGGAGCCCTAAATCAGGTGTGCAGGCACAATTACTGAAAATGAATCTGTCAGAGAAATCTCAGGTAATCAAGGAACCCTGATTGGGCACCCCTCCTGTACTCTTCTTTGCTTTAGGGATAACCTAAACCAATGTTCCTCAAAGCTGATGGGAATAAGCAATGCAGTTACAAGGCAGACTTATTAAGAAGGTTGAAAATTTAAAACATTGGCCACAAGCTGATAATGGCACCTGTGAGTCAGCCATTCACAGGGCATGTCAAATGGTGCTGCCTTCGTATGACCATTAAAAGAATCAGGCTTGTTTTAGCGCTGAGCAGCAGACATAACCTGATGCCATTTGCAGTAGTACCACCAGCCCCTCGTGGACAGCCCATGCCCAGAACTTCTCACACTTTCATGCAATAGCAGGTACTTGCTCTGGCAGGGGTTCAGTGCACAGGGCATGGGAGCTAATTTGTAAAGTGCATATTGCTGAGGAATGGGCATGAGACTCTCATTTCCTCCTCTGAGCTCAGTCCATGGACTTGGTTCTCTAAGAAAAAATGTCTTTTTTCATTAGCTAGACCTCTGTTTAGCTGTGCCTTTCTTATTATAGATAGGATTCCCCCCAGCTTGTCCTTTCTCCTCAATGTATACAAGTTTGCGTAGGAAATTGCTCATGAATAAAAAAATGGCTATGGAAAATGTCAAGAAATGAGTATGTAAACATTCTTGGTTTTCAGATATGTGTTGGGTGGTGGGTTTTTTTTGTTTTGTTATGGTGATCTTGTTTGTTTGTTTGAATAAAACTTTGCTCAAGGGACGGCTGTT